GGCCCGCCCCGGAGAAGCTCCGGGAGGAGTGAGGCGCGCCGGCCTCGTGCCCTGCCCTCCGGCTGCCGCGCTTGCGGCTCCGCGGACCGGCGCCCCCAGAGGACAGTCCTGGGGCGCCTCCCCGTGCCCCGGCGTATACCTTCCTCGCCACTGAGGCAGAGCTGGGTCCCACGCGCCTGCTTCCCGTCCCTGGGCCCCGATCCAGTCGGCGGATCCGGCCCTGCGCTCCTGCAAAATCATGGTGTTGCCCCGACGACCCCGTGCGCCCGCTCCAGCGCCCCCCAGTGTCTGCGCGCCGCGTCCTGGAAGATGAGGGCCTCCTGGGGCGGTGGTCTCCCGCGGATCCCCGGTCTCTGCAGCCGCAGTGGGCGGCTGGGATCGCCAGGCCAGGCTCCGGGAGGGGGGTCCCTCCTTGTCCCTTTATTAGCCCATCAGGTCGCTGAGGACTGGGAGGGGAAGCCGGCTGCAGCTGACCGGGCTCAGAGACTGCCGTTCTGGAAGCTTCCGTCTCAACCACCACAGGCCCCAACACCCCTGTCATCCTGTTGTCGTGGTCTCTCGGCCTAAGACAGGGTCAGAGTGTTTAAAACATTCCCAATAAAGTGTTGCACAGATGGCTGTGTGTGTGAGACGCGTGTGCCCCCACACTCCCTGGGGGTGAACCACTGGCCTGACGCTGCTGAACTCCCGCACCCTGGAGTGAAGGGTTGTGGTGGTGCAGAGGTTAAGCACTCGGTTCCAACCTACCCGCCGCGCTCAGGGAGAAAGATGAAGCGGTTTGCTGGCAGCCGTGGAAACCGTTAGGGCCAGTTCCACTCTGCCCTCCAGGGTCACCGCCTTTGTTCCCTGGGGCTGTTACACCAGGAGTGCGGGAGTGGGTGGTTGTCACACATTCCTTCCCAGAGTTGAGGAGGCCTGAGTCCAGGGCACGGCCCTGGGGAAGGTCCTTGTCTCTTCTGAACTTTGCTCCTGGGAGATGTTATGACTTGGCGTCGCCCTCATCTCTGCCTTCCCCGCTTGTCTAATCTTGATGTACCTCAAAAGGACACTGACTCAATGCACGCCCTCCACCGACCTACCTCATTAACATAAAGCCCACCCCCAGATGGGGTTAGAGCCGCAGGCACGGAGGCCGGGATTTATACATATTTGGCAGGGGACGTACTTCAGTCCGTGACAGTCGCTGTGAGTCGGAATCTACCCGTGGGCAGCAGCTTCAGGACAGACGGACCTGCGAGCTCGGGACGCCGCCACCAGAGACTTCAGTTCCCAGGAAGCCTTTCAGAGCCGGGGCCCTGGGGTTCTGGGAAGTGTGTGGCCTTCCCTCGGGTCACCTGGTGCCAGGTGCAGACCTGGCCCGGCCCCTCCCTTACCTGGGGCAGTCCACACCCTGCAGGCCGACAGAGACAGCAGAGCCGGCAGCAGCCATGGAGGAGAACGCGGCCGGGGGAGCCAACGATACGGGCCGCTCTGGGGCGTGGCTGGCACCCCGGGAGGCCAGAGCAGGTGGGGAGCCTGCGGCCGGATCCAGCCCTGGGGAGAAACGCTCAGGCGGAAGTCCTGGGGCGGGGGCGGAGAGCGAGGCCTGGGCTCCTGGACACCCCCCTGGAGCCCTGACGGAGCAGAGGGCTAGGGGCGGGGGCTGGGGTGTCAGGAATGAGGGGCTGGGTGCCCGGCCTCCGAA